TTAGGGTTGAGGGTTTCAGGGTTTCAGGGTTTCAGGGTTTCTTGCCTCAAGGTAGTGAAGCTTAGACTGGAGGGTTGTGAGGTGTTGGATTTGGGAAGCTTGCTAAGACTTGGGCCCATGCTGCACCCGCATTGGCTGTTATGTAAGCCGACCTTTAAGACGAGGTGTTTGAGTGAAGCGCACGCGTCTTCGCCATTGTCGCTCAAGCTCTAGCTTGATTTCAGCCCTTCCTTGCCAGCTGCTGTGCTTCAGCAGACAAGCTCCGAAGGCCAGGATGCTCTACGTTTGGAGCATATCGGGTAAGGAGTTGGCAAGCATGGCCATGGAGGAGTTGACGACAGCGGAGGCCTTGAAGCAGCACCTCCGCCTGCTGCACAGCATCCCTTTGTGCATTCCAGTACAGCTCCTTCACGATGGAGAGCCCTTAGATGATGCTGTGGTGTTAGATTCCCCTATGGATGTGCAGATGGTGTTACTGCCAATCTCCAGCACCGAGATGAAGCAAGCGGCCAGGGAGCTATCTGAATGTGCGGCGCAGGGCCATTCTGAGGTGCTCCGCTGGCTGTTGCAAGCTGGTGCCGATAAGGACACCACAGTCATCGGAAAGACAGCTTTACTCCGAGCAGCCGACACAGGACAGATTGAGACAGTACGTCTGCTGTTGGGAGCTGGAGCCGACAAAGACATGTCGGATGGTAGCAGGAGCACCGCCCTCATCTGTGCCTGTGGCAAGGGGCATGTTGAAACGGTGAGCCTTCTTTTGGAGGCCGGTGCAGATTCTAACTTGCGCGATCTTTTCGGAGACACAGCTCTAATTCGGGCATCCAGCCAGAACCACATCGAGACCGCGCGTCTCTTGTTGCAGGCCCGTGCAAAAACGGATTTGACAGACGAAGACAAGAACACAGCTCTTATTCGGGCATCTGGCAAGGGCAATGTGGACATTGTGCGAATGCTTCTGGAAGCAGGTGCTGACGAGAACTTAAGGGATCGGTGGGGGCATACGGCACTGATGGACGCAGTTGACGGAGGACATGCTGATGTTGCGCACGTGTTGCTTGAAACCCAGTCTGACAATGACCTGCGAAACTTTGCTCTTATTCAAGCATCGCGCAGAGGCCAAGTTGACATTTGACATGGTGCGTCTGCTGTTGGACGCAGAAGTTGATCCAGATTTTGCCGACGTAGCAGGACCAACAGCTCTCATCTGGGCATCCGAAGAAGGCCAAGTGGAGATTGTGAAGCTCTTGCTAGCAGGCGGCGCGAATCCTGACTTGGCTGACACTTACGGTAATGCGGCTCTGATTCGTGCTTCTCGCGGCAACTATGTTCAGGTTGTCCGGTTGCTGCTCCAGGCCGGGGCTAGCAGACATTTCGAACAGGCCAACCTTGAAGCATCGAGCGAGGTCACATGCTTGCTGCAGGAGGCAAGCAATCGGCGTTGTTAACCCTACAACCATCGGGTTGAAAATTGACTGCATGGACATGATGGGCGCCTTCAACCCGGATTAGGATTGAAGATATGGGGCTTGTGCTTTCAGAGCGGATGGTTCAGCTTCCATGTTGAAAGAAGTTTCCAACTGCTGCTGTCACCGACCATGCAACATCTTGAAAGCCCAAACTCAAGTCTCGGAAGCTTACAATCACTGGCCCTAAACGGACGAAAAATCAAAGATGGTGCGACTCTATTTGCTTTGGCAGGGCTGCAAACCCAAGCCCCATTGAGATCAAACCTGAAACAGGATTCAGAATATGGAGGCTAGCATGGCTAAACAGGCTTTCGTTGCGCTGGATACGAAACGAGTACTACCCTAAACCCTGGCTCAAAATATAGCGCGCTAACCTTGAGCCCTAAACCCTAAATACAGATTTTGCCCGCTATCTCAGATGCCTTTCCATGCAACGGCGAGTGCTCCGACCCAAGCCCTCAAACCCGCTGCGAACCAGTGGAGTAGGTAATATCGACGCCCAAACCCCGTGGGCCTTTGGAAGGGTTTGGGGTTGAGGGGTAAACCCTAAACCCGAAACCC